ATTCTCAGGGTTGCAGTTTTTCAATTTTTCATTTTTGTTTCTTCAATTTTTCAAGATTTCCAGTTTAAATTTTTCAGTTTGTCAATTTTCTAACTTTTGAATTTTTCAATTTTTAAATTTTGCAATTTTTAGATTTGAGTACCCGAGTTATCATTTTTTAATTTTTCAATGTCTCGGTTTTATAATTTTTTTCCTTTTTCAGTTTTAGTTTTTTCAATTTTTCGTTTCTTCAAATTTTCGATTTGCGATTTACCACTTTTTTGCTTTCCTTATTTCTTCAATTTTTAGATTTTACAATTTTTCGATTTAAAATTTCAGTTTTGCAAATTGTACAATTTTTCGATTTTTAGATTTCACAATTTTTCGAGATTTCGACCTCGATTTTTCGATTTTTGGTTTTTTCATTTTTAGATTTCTCGATTTTTCAAGTAACCGACTTTTCACTTTTTCGATTTTTGAATTCAATTTTTCACTTTTTTCTCCATTTTTTGGGTCCTCTTTTATGATCTTCTTCAGTTATGTTTTTGTGGCGTTCTTTTGGTAGTTTTTTTTTGTCACCGTTTTTGTCATATTTCTTGTTTTATTTACCTCCGTTTTGATTTTTTCTTTGGTTGTGGGTTTCGCCTTCTTATTGTAATTTTTTCGTCTTTTTTTCTCGCATTTCTGTCCCTTATTATTTTTTCAATTTTCTAACTTTTGAATTTTCCAGTTTTTAGATTTCGCACCTTTTCGATTTGAGTTTCTCGAGTTTTCAATTTCTAATTTTTTAATTTTTCGAGTTGCAATTTTTCGTTTCTTATAGCCTTTATTTTTACAATTTTTCAATTTTTCAATCTTACGATTTTCTAATTTTTTTCTTTTTAAATTCAGTTTTTTCAATTTTGCTTTTCTACAATTTTCAGGCTTGCAATTTTTCAATTTTTATTTTTTCTTGTTTCTTCAATTTTTCGATTTGCAATTTTTCAACATTTCAAATTAAAATTTTTCAGTTTTTCAATTTTCCACCTTTTGAATGTTTCAGTTTTGAAATTTTGTAATTTTTGGATTTGAATTGCTCGAGTTTTCAGTTTTTAGTTTTTATAATTTTTTGTTTTTTCAGATTAATTTTTTTTCGTTACTTTGATTTTTCGACTTGCGATTTTTCATTTTTTTTTCTTCAATTTATCAATTTGCAATTTTTCGAGTTTCAAGCTTAAACTTTTCAATTTTTCAATTTTCCAGCTTTAGAATTTTTCAATTTTCTTGTTCCTTGAATTTTTATATTTTCCAATTTTTCGATTTGAGTCTCGAGTTTTCAATTTTTAATTTTTCATTTTTTCGATTTCCTACTTTCCAATTTTTAATTTTTTTTTGTTTCTTCAGTTTTTAGATTTTGCAATTTTTCGATTTTTCCATTTTTTAATTTTTCGTTTATTGAAATTTTCAATTTGTAATTTTTCGTTTTTTTGTCTTTATTTTTACAATTTTTCCATGTTTCAATCTTCCGATTTTCTAATTTTTTGTCTTTTAAAATTCAGTTTTTTTCAATTCTCAGGGTTGCAGTTTTTCAATTTTTTATTTTTGTTTCTTCAATTTTTCAAGATTTCAAGTTTAAATTTTTTAGTTTGTCAATTTTCTAACTTTTGAATTTTTCAATGTTTAAATTTTGCAATATTTGGATTTGAGTACCCGAGTTATCACTTTTTAATTTTTCAATGTCTCGGTTTTATAATTTTTTGCCTTTTCTGTTTTAATTTTTTCAATTTTTCGTTTCTTCAAATTTTCGATTTGCGATTTACCAATTTTTTACTTTCCTTATTTCTGCAGTTTTTAGATTTTACAAGTTTTCGGTTTAAAATTTCAGTTTTCAATTGTTTAGTTTTTCGATTTTTCAATTTTCCATTTTTCCAAATTTTCGATTTGCAAGTTTTCGAGTATTTAAGATTAAATTTCTCAGTTTTTCAATTTTCCAACTTTTTAATGTTTCAGTTTTAGATTTTGCAATTTTTCGATCTAAAATTTTCAATTTTTAATTGTTCAAATTTTTTATTCCTCAATTTTTCGATTTGCAAATTTTCGTTTGGGTTTTTAATCTCTTTATTTTTGCAATTTCTCGATTTTCAGCTTTTTTTAATTTTTGGTTTCTTCAATTTTTCATTTATTTGGTTCTTCTATTTTACGACTTTTCATTTTAAAATAATTCAGTTTTTCGATTTTCCAACTTTTGGATGTTTAAATTTTTAGATTTTGCAGTTTCACGAGTTTTCAATCTTTTAATTTTTTAATTTTTTATTTCCTCAATTCTATTAGTTTGCAATTTTTAGTTTCGGTTTTTCAATGTTCTGAATTTATAATTTTTAATTTTTTCAGTGTCAAATTTTTCAATTTTTGGATTTTTCCGTTTTTCGATTTGCAGTTTTTCGATTTTTCAATTTTTTCCGATTTTCTAGTTTTTCAATGTTTCAATTTTTCATTCCTTCAGTGCTTCGATTTATAATTTTTTGATTTTGCAAATTTTTGAATTTTCGGTTTTTCGATTTGTCTCGGTTTTTTAGTTTTTCAGTGTTTCAATTTTTCGTTTCTTCAGCGCTTCGATTTGCAATGTTTCGATTTTTTCCGCTATCTCGATTTTTCAAATTTTCGTTTTTTCAGTTTTTCGAGTTTTCAATTTTTCCGATGTTTTACTTTTTCAATATTTCAATTCTTCGTGTTTTCAGTTTATCTACTTCAATTGTTTCCGATTTTTAAATGTTTCAATTTTTCGTTTCTTTAGTCCCTCGATTTGCGATTTTTCAAATTTCAGATTTTTCAATATTTTCTGATTTTTTAGTTTTCAATATTTCAATTTTTCGTTTCTTTGCAATGTCCCGGTTTTTTGATTTTGCAAGTTTTCGTTTTTTCAGGTTTTAGATTTTTCATTTTTTTCCGATTTTCTAGTTTTTCAATGTTTCAATTTTTAGTTTTTCCATATTTCAATTTTTCGTTTCTTTGGTGCTTCGATTTGCAATATTTCAATTATCCACTTTTTTGATTCCACAAATTTCCGTTTTTTCAGTTTTACAATTTTTCAATTTTTTGGATTTTGCAAATTGTCGTTTTTTCAATTTTTACACTTTCCAATTTTTTCCGATTTTTAGTATTTCAATCTTTCAATCTTTCATTTTGGTGCCGCGATTTGCAATTTTTCCAGTGCTTCGATTTGTAATTTTTCGATTTTCCGCTTTTTTGATTTTGCACATTTTAGTTTTTTCAATTTTTGGATTTTTCAATTTTTTCCGATTTTCTAGTTTTTCAACTTTCCGAATAAAAAATAGAAAAATTTTCGAAGCAAAAAAATGCATAACCTGCAAAATTGTGAAACTGAAAAACAGAAAATGAAAAACTATAAAATGAAAACTGAATCGAAATATTGAAGGAATCGGAAAATCGGATAACTGAGAAGTCCAAAAATTGCTAAATTACAAAATTTAAAAATTGGAAAATCGGGGTGAAAAATCAAAGATTAATAATTTGAAAAATTTAGTTAAAAAATTACAAAAAATAAAAATCAAGAACCTGAAAAATGAGGAAACGAAAAATTGAAAAGTCGAAAAATGAAAAATTCAGAAACTAAAAAACTGAAAAAGTGAAAACTGATTTTCCGCTTTTTCGATTTTGTAAATTTTTGCTTTTTCATTTTTTCAACTTTTCAATTTGTTCCGAATTGTTTGTTTTTTGATTTTTCAGTTTTTCAAGTTTTCGAATAATGAGAAATGGAAAATTTTCGAATAAAAAAAAATGCAAAAACGTGTAAAGAAAATTGAAAAATTTTAAAATTGGAAAATTGAGGAATTGAAAAACCAGTGATTAAAAATTTGAAAAATGTAAGCAAAAAAATCACAAAATCAAGAGAAACATTGAAAAAATAAAGAAAAACAAAAATTATGATATAAAATCGACAAAATTAAATTAAAAAATATGGAAAGGAAAAAATAAAAATTGAAAAATCCAAAAATGAAAAATTGTGAAACTGAAAACCAGAAAACTGATTTTTCGATTTTTCAGTTTTCAGTTTTTCGACTTTTTCATTTTTTCCGATTTTTTGGTTTTTTGATTTCTCAATTTTTCAACTTTTCGATTAAAAAAAAATGCAAAACCTACAAATTGTAAAACTGAAAAATAAAAAATGAACAAGTATGAAAAAATGAGTCGAAACTTTCACAATTAAAAAAATCGGATAATCGGATAACTGAGAGATCCAAAACCTGCAAAATTGAAAAATTTAAAGATTGGAAAACTGAGGAATTGAAAATCAAAGACTGAAAATTTGAAAAATTGAGTTAGCGAAAAATTATAAAATCGAAAGAAACATTGCAGAAAAATGAAAAATTGTGATATCAAAATTTTAGAGAATCATTACACTTTTGTAAAATTATTGAAGATTCCGTACGTCTCAAAATTTATAATTCTAAACGTTGAAGAATAAAAAAATAAACAAACAAAAATAATACAGATATTTCGACAAAACGTGATGATCTAAAATTGATTAAAAACCGACAAGTCATAAAACGAATAAAATTACAAATAAATAGAAAATTTCAAAATAATGTTTAATTTTGCTCTTAAAAATATTTCACTCTTTTCTAAAAAATTTATAAATCTAACAATTTAACAATAAAGTTGGTTACATTTTTAGACATATGCGAATAGAATTTAAGAAGTTTATTGATTGAAAAACTGTGGCATTTATTCGGGTAATTTAAGCGCGAATTTTATCGACAAGCTTGTAACACCTTCGACCTTAACGAGCCGAAGCAAAAAAGTTAATGTTAAACACAAAGCACTTTATATTCCGTCGTACGTCGACGATCACTTGAAGACGCTTTCAATAGACGAGGACTTCAGCCGCCTCCAGACATCACACATACAATTCAAACCCAATTTTACCATTCTCGCAAAACAAACCCCCCCTAAGATGCACCATACCTGCGTGGTCGCCGCCGCCGGCCCGTGGAGGCGGCGACGCCAGTCGTGCACGCGTCCCGATGCCAAACCGACGCGTCTCCAACGCACTCTTGTTCACTTCGCGAGCGCTTTATCGCCCCTTTATCAGTGCTACAGTGCGTCCGATTTTTCGTTATCAAGCAGCGGTCCCATTTCCTCCCGCCCGCCGTGTGATCGCATTTGAGTGATTTCAGTGTGGAAAAATCTCCGTGCTGCACTAGGTAGGAGAAACTTTTTTCTAACTTCGTGTGTCATTAAGTCATTATCATTAAATGCGATTGTGTGTGAAAATTACAGTTTTCGTAGTATCAGTCGACGGTTTGACAGGTGACATTAACTTAATTCGGTCTAAATTTAGTAACTGCGTTAGTATTGAAATTTATTCGGGACGTCGGGGCCAAAACGACGGTTCTTAATTGAAAGGATTCATCATTTTTGACTCGACTTAATGGACGTTAAGCTGTGATTTAGATGTTATGAATTAATGGGATCTAGATTTATTAGTAGGGGACGTTGGGGTATCGTTTGTCTTGGGTCGGGCCGCGGACCGGTTTCGCTGCGTCTTAATTAAGCCAGCTAAAATTTCTTCGATCGTTGGAAGTAAACAAACTTAATGGACGTTTAAGAGCAGTAATTAAAATAAAAAATTTAACGTTGCTGTAATGAAATTTGCCCGGATTTACCGAATGTAAAAAATTAATTAACTGCCGTTTTCTCTCTCAAGCAGCACGCGAATTTAATTCGTTTCGAATGGGCGAAATTCATTTTTGACGAGTGTACAAGCACTTGACCGTTTTTCTATTCATCTGTGTTGGTTGGTAATTGCATTCATATTGATCTCTGCGGTAAACAAACGAAAGAAATTACCGGAGGTTGATACGTTATCATGCTAGCTTGTAACTGATAGTATCGCTCTTTGTTATTACAGTGAAGTAATTAGGCTTTGTTACTAGACACAAAAGCAAAAAATTATTATCAGAATTTCGGGACAAACTAGATGTGTTTGTGCGAGATTAACATGGTCCTCGTTGTTTTTATCGAAATTAAGACGTAGAAGTTTGTTTGTCGGGACGGAGCTTAGATGTTGGCCACTTTTGTGGCTCATAGTTGGGTTTTCTCAAGTAATTGAGTGTCTTTGACTAACAAGGAGACTAGGTTTGGTGTTGCATATTCATGTGTCTCGAGGGCCGATTTTCTGAGGTGAGTAGCTAGTTTGAGGGGCCCTCGGGTGAGATTTGTTGCTATATTTAGTCTACAGTGCGAATATTTCATACGTGTGCTAGAATATTGCCTTATTAATTTTCTCGAAACTTTTTTCGGTTGATTTCCGTGTGGAATTGATAATAATAGTTACTGCGCAAATACGAGGCAGGATTCAACAAAAAATACAAGTGTGATCACCCGATGCGAAATAGATATTCAAATCTGTCTGGATAAATTTATGCATGCGCTGTTCTATGAAAATTGGGGCTTTTATTTACGTTTTCCGGTGAATGCAGACGATTCTGGTTTGCACGAGAATTAAACATTAAAAAAGAAAATGAAAAAGCTTGATTTTAGCGCCGCGGTGGCTGGAATTTTAATGTTGTGTATTTAGATTGACGATTTCGTGTCAGCTAGAGGATGAAACGATATATCGTCCATTTTCGTTCGTTCTGCATCTATGTGTGGCGATTTTTATTTGGCAGATAATATAAAATAATCTCCGAAATTACTGGATTCTAGCCAAAATTTATGCAATCGTCCTCACCAACATTTAAATACAGAAACTTTATAAAGTAACAAGTAACAAAGTACTTGTGGTTTATGAATCCGTTTTGAGTTTTGTTACTTTTTTGTTGCTTTTTATAACCGTTTTTTTTTGTTCTTTTTGCCACTTTCTGTAAATAGACGCTTTTTTTGTTGTTTTTTACTTCCCGAGCGTAAGCAAAGGAAGTATTGTAATCGAGTCCGTCGGCCGACTCTCTACTTTTACGTTTTCTCGATCTTTCATGACCCCTAGAAGACGAAGAAATAGGTCTCCCATTTCCGTCTGTCTGTCCGTCTGTCCGTCCGTCTGTCCGTCCGTCTGTCCGTCCGTCTGTCCGTCCGTCTGTCCGTCCGTCTGTCCGTCTGCCGTCCCGGATTTTTATTAGACAGATAATCTCCGAAAGTACTCGACCGATTGTTGTGAAATTTTGTACTTATATTAAGCATATCATGTAGATGGTAAAACGCTAACCAAAATTTGTCTAATCATCCCCACCACTAATGCGATGACGTCACTTCAAAATTGTACATAGTAAATGGGTTTTCAATTGTATAAAATAACATAGTCCTACACATGTAGTTTACAACTCTGAATCGACTTTTCACCCGAAACGTCCAGATTTTTGGAAAAAAAATCAAAATTATAAAACAACATTTTGAAATTTAATTTTTAATCTGCTAACCAGAATGCTTTGAAATGTTGCAGATGTTTTAAGGCTATAAAGAGCATCATAAATCTTTAGTCAAAAAATATTTGCTTATCCCCTCCAAAAACTTGATGACGTCAGCTCAAAAGTTTGTGGAATAAATCATATCTAAAATGTACAAAATATGATGAGTCTGTACTTGTGAACTATCACTCCATTAATATTTTTTGGATTTGCATATACAGGGTGACTCAAAAAAATTAATGAATGCGTAAATATATTTTATTGATTTAATCAGGAACTACAAAACCGAATGCTCTGAAATCTTGCAGATGTTTTAAGGTCATAAAGAGCATAATAAATGTTTAGTCAAAATATATTTGCTTATCCCCTCCAAAAACTTGATGACGTCAGCTCGAAAGTTTGCCGAATAAATCATATCTAAAATGTACAAAATATGATGAGCCTGTACTTGTCATTTATCACTCCATTCATATTTTTTGGATTTGCATATACAGAGTGACTCAAAAAAATTAATGAATGCGTAAATTTATTTTATTGATTTAATCAGGAACTACAAAACCGAATGCTTTGAAATCTTGCAGATGTTTTAAGGTTATAAAGAGCATAATAAATTTTTAGTCAAAATATATTTGGTTATCTTCTACAAAAAACTGATGACGTCAGCTCAAAAGTTTTCCGAATAAATCGTATCTAAAATGTACAAAATATGATGAGTCTGTACTTGTGATTTATCATTCCATTCATATTTTTGGATTTGCATATGCAGGGTGACTCAAAAAAATTAATGAAGGCGTGAATTTATTTTATCGATTTAATCAGGAATTACAAAACCGAATGCTTTGAAATCTTGGGAATATTTTAAAGTTATTATAAGCATGGTAAACTTTTGTTCAAAATGTATTTGTTCATCCCTCCTAAAAAAATTGATGACGTCACCCTTAAATTTTGCTGAATAAATCCTATCTAAAATGCAAAAAATATGATGAGTTTGTACTTGTGATTTATCATTCCATTCATATTTTTTAGATTTTCTTAAGAGGTGGTTCAAAAAAATTAATGAAGTCAATTTATTTTATTGATTAAATTAAAGGCAACACTTATTATTAGTATTACACCCCAACCAACCCAATTTGGTAGACACAAAATTTGTTAAAGGAAAAACTCGGTTGAAACATAAGGGTAGCACGCTTATTTACATCGACTTTAACATTACAGACCTGCATTTGTTTTATGCGCTCACTTGGTTCCGCGAATGTGAAATAGACATGTATATAATCAACCAATTGTGAATTTCACCGTCAAGAATTAAAATAAAACCCAATGTTTTATATAATAAGCGGAAGTCGAAGCAATAAAACCGATGGTCGTTTTGTTTACAGTTTCTCTGTTTGACTCTCACGTATGCTGTTACGCCTGTCATCTTAAATTAAGAATGTTTATACATGCACGATTTTCAGTTGCCTCTGATACGTATACGTGAGTAAATTGTTTCGTTATTTTATTGATTATTACAAATCAATATTCAAACGACCCAATTCATTTTCCCGAAAATTTGAGAATATAATAATTTTATTCTTAGTATTACACTACATCTATCCCAACTGATATACGTGTCCTTGCAAAAATGTTGATGACGTCATCGCAATTTTTTTTTAAATTCCCACTACAAAAATGTAATGAGAAAAAAACACAATAGGCATGCAGTCGTCAAGTTTCCGACAGCGAGGGAAGTACTGTCTAAACTCTTTAGACCAATTTTTTTATGTCTATTTTGTCTCTTTTTGTGGCCGTTTTTTGTTTTGTGACACTTTTCTGTTGCTCTTTTTTGTACTCTTTTATGATAATGAGATGACTTATTTACGGAAATCTGTCTTTTTCTGTGGCATTTTTGGCATTTTTTGTAGTCGCCTGTTTTGTGGATTTTTTGTCTTGTTTTTAATCTTCTCTTATTGTGATATTTTGTCGCTTTTAATAGTCGCTTTTTGTGTTTTTATAATTTTTTGTAGCCACTTGTTCCTGTTGTTGCATTTTTATCGCCCTTTTCTGTCAGTTTTTGTAATCGTTTTGTTTGTTGAATATTTTTTGTCCTGTGTTTACATCTTCTTTAGCGGTTGTTGTTGCTCTTAATCTTTTTTGATTCGCTTCTTTCAGTCGCACTCTTTTTAGTTGCTTTTTTATCAATTTTTTTTGCCCTTTGTTTTTGCATTTTGACGTCTTCTTTGTAGATTTTTGTTCTTTTTTTCATTGTCTTTGGTTTATTGCATTTTTTTTAGATGTTTTGGCACTATTTTGTATTTTTGCTCACTTTTTTTTGTAGTCGCATTTGACTGATTGTACTTCAAAGGCAGGGAAAGTTTTGTCCAATTTTTCTTAACCTGTTCGTATTTTTGTCGCCTTTTTTGTGGATTCTTTGTGTTTTTATTTTTTTTTGTGCTTGAGTTTCGCTTTTTTGTTGTCGTTTTTGTAGATTTTTTGTCCTTTTTCATTGTCTTTTTTTATATTTTTCTGTCGCCTTTTTACTTTTTTTGTACACTTTTTTTTATTAATTTCTTTGATTGTAATTCAGGGTCGAAAAAAATTCTCTCTTTTGAGCAAGTTTGTTTAACCTTTGTGCCCATTTTTGTTTTTTTTCTTTTTTTTCCTTTTCTCTACCCATTTGTTGAAATTTTTTGGAAATATTTTGTATTTTTGGTCACTTTTTTGTGTTTTTAGGTCATTTTTTGTGACCACTTTTCTTCTTTTCTTGCATTTTGTGTGTTCTTTTTTGTTGCGTTTTTCTGTTCTCTGTTTATGTTTTTTGT